GCCCAGGGCAGGCCACACAGCAGGCTGCTTGCCTCAGGGCTGCAGCAAAGACTCCAGCTTGGCCCTCAGGATGGGCACGGCCTCCCCACTGGCCAAAGATACACTTCCCCGCCCTCCTATTCCTTGGGTCCTAAGTCAGGCTGGCCCCTCTGCTGCGGTCTGAATGTTTGCGTCCCCCACAATTCATGTGTGAAACCTTAGCTCCCAAAGGTGATGGCGTGGGTAGGGGGAGCTTTAGGCGTGTGATTAAGTCACGAGGGCGGAGCCATCACGAATGGGATTTGTGCCCTGAGAGAAGCTGCAGAGACCCCTTCCCACCTCCCCCTGTCAGACACAGAGAAGGCCCCTACCTGACAGTGCCGGCATCTTGGTCTTGGACTTCTTCGGCTCCACAGCTGCGAGAAACAAGGGTCTGTTGTTCACGAGCCGCCCAGTCTGTGGCGCTCTGTCCCAGCAGCCCCGGCGGACAAAGACAGGTCCTCGGCACACGCTCCTTGCCCTCGGTCACCATCGCTGCCTCTTACCTTTCTTAGCTTTCTTATTCTTTGAATCCTGAGAGAAAGAACCACAAAATAAGATGCTCGCTGGAGTGGGGGGTGCTGGGAACGGGGTGCAGGCGCAGGGTCCGGTGCAGCCTGTGGGCGCTCCCACGCCTGCCGGGGCCTCTCCTGGTCCCCAAGGCAGGGCAGGGTCTCCTCAGGAGGAGCCCTGCCCGTCCACTTGCCCTCCTCCTCACACCCGGGAAGGCTGCCCGAGGGGCCAGTGACCCACAGAGCTGGGGCCCCCGCAGCTGCCTCGGGAGAGGCCCCGTCCTTCCTGTGCATTCTGGGGCCCTCCAACAATGCTGGAGTTTCTTGAGGGCGTTTGGGGGCTCAGAGCCCCTCCCCCCACTGCCTCCCTTCCTTCCCTCTACCTGGCCCCAGGCCCCTCCTGCCCAGCATCATCTGTGGGGAGGGGCGTGTCCGGGGCCTTACTGTACCCTGAGAAACGTCAGCTTGTCGGATTCCGCGGTGCGGATCACCCCAAAGTTGCAGACAGTGGACACGAGCGGCTCCCCCATCAGCAGGGGCTCCAGGCCCACCATGCCCCTGCCCAGCACCCGCAGGACGGGCGGGTCCTGGCGCAGCTCCTTGGGCAGGTCTTTCTTCTTTTTGGAGCCCTGCAGGGAGCCGGGTCTGAGCCTGACCCGTGGCCAAAGCACTGGCAAAGCCACGCTTGGCCGTGTTATAATCTGCCAAGGGCAGAGGAAGCAGGACGGTGAACACACAGCTGCTTGTGGTTGAGCACAGATAACCGGGCACAGACAGGCCCTGGGAAATTACTGTCGCCAGCAAGTCCTGAGAGGCGGGCTCCCACCCCGGCCCTGACCTTCGAGCGTAGATGATAAACGCCCGAGCTTCCCTCGGGGCCACTGTAACTCCATGAGCGCAGTGTCACTGTCTCTGTGTCTTTCTCAGTCCCCCGTTGTCCCCCCACCAGGCTGACTGTCTAGCCGTGCAGGTCGCGACAGACCCGTCTATCCCTGGAGGGCGAGGCCAGGGGGCGCCGGGCCGGCCAGACCTTGGGTGCCTCCGTCTCGCCTTTCGCTGCCTTGTCTTTCGCGTCCTTCCCCGTCCTGCTCTTCTCCTCCTTCTTGTCCTTTTCCCCTTTCCCTTTCTTGGCAGGCAGGGGGACGTCGACGGGAGGGGCCACCAGAGGCCAGGACAGGATCTAGGGGACAACAAGACGGCTTCGCGTGAACTCGGGCTAAGCTGGGGCTGGCTGGGATCTTTCTGGAAAGGTGCACAGGCCATGCTGACAAGGGAGCAGGGCTACGGACACCCCGATGGACAGCTGGAAAGGGGGGCTTCGGGGGGCAACGTGTCGACCACGGAGAACGCCACCTTCTCCTCCACGATGGTCACGGTGGTCCCCGCCAGCAGGAAGGCCTTGAGAGGCACCAGGTCCCTGAGCGTGTGCTGCATCTCGTAGTTGCAGGGGATGACGTTGGCCCAGGGCTTGCGGACGGTGCTGAAGAGGACCGTCCTGGGAGGGGAGATGAAAACGGGGTGTCATCGTCCAGGACCAGGGACGAGGCCGTGGGGCGCTGTGAGGAGACGGGCACAGAGCGAGACCAGGGAGGGGCCCAGGAGGCCGGGCGGGGACACGGGCGGAGGAGAAAGCGCATCCGTGAAGGCCACGTGGAGACTTCCTTCGCGCGTGACGGCGAGCTGAGCGGTAGACGGGAACCAACTAGAAATGAATCGGGAGATTTTAAAAACATCGGCAAAGGAATAAAACAGACTATTCGGAATTTCCCGAATCGTTACAAAGTGGTTCTCCAGGGCCCGGAAACACCTCTCTCTGGCAGTCACCGGGCTTGACAAACTGGGTGCAGATGCACCCGGGGGGGAGGCGGGGATTCCGGAGCAGCGCACCCAGGACGGCGGAGGCTCGAACGATGCCTGCACCCCAGGGCCCACAGCAGCACTCTGCACAGTGACCCACGCGTGGACGTGCGCTCTGCTCACGCGATGGAACGGGGGAAGGGAACGGTGACAACGACGGAACAACGTGGACGAACCCTGAGGCCCCGATGCCACGCAAAACGCGCCAGACACAGAACAGCAAGCGTCGTTACGACGCCACTTACCGGGAACGGCCACGCTCGTAGAGGAAGAAAACAGGAAAGAGGTTCCCACGGGCTGGGCCGCAGACACAGAACAGCAAGCGTCGTTACGACACCACTTACACGGGAACGGCCACGTAGAGGAGGAAAACAGGAAAGAGGTTCCCACGGGCTGGGGCTGGGACGTGGGCGGGGGGCGGGGCGGTCAGTGTTTAATGGGCCTAGAGTTACAGTTTGGGAAAAGAAAGTTCCAGAGGTGGACGGTGGAGACAGCTGCACGATGCCGTGAATGTACTTAATGCCACAGAACTGCGTGGGGACTTTTACGTATATTTTATCACAATAAGAAAAGATCATGACCTTGTAAACGGTGACCCCCAGGAATGCGACGTGTCACTGTTCATGTGCACACACCTCGTGCCCGGTCTAATCCCTGGCACGCCAAAACAGGTGTTTTATGAATGAACAGGTGCATTAATAAATAAATAAACAAATGCTAATTTACGCCACCAGATTTTTAAAGCATATTGGAAAGTAAAAACTCTCAAAATACTAAGATACTGGGTCGAAAGCAGAAACAACGACCCCCAGACCAGAATTCAGGATCCATAATTAGAGATATGTTTATGAGGACACACTACGTGGCCGTGATTGGGAAATAGTGGTACATACATTGTTTCAACAACTGGACTCCAGCGTGAAGGAGACTAACAGACTACGACCAAGTTAAAGTGTGTCTGAGTTCAACGTTAAGAAAAACTAGAACAAAACGGAATAAAATACTCATTCCGGCTCTGAGACGGGAGAAAAATGTTCCCTCAAAGGAAAATGGGATCAAAATAAAGTTATGGACTAAAATATAACAGAAGCCCAATAAAAGAATTCAGCCCAGAGCTTGCACACTGTGGGGATCAACTGCACAAAAACAGATGTTAAAAGGGAAACATAAAAATGGAGGAAACAAACGCGACAGTAACCGATTTTAAAAATCAGTGCTGCAGACAGATGGAAGGGATCTGAGACAGAATCAACGACTGTGCCTCCCAGGCGAAAAGACACGTCAGAGGCTCCACCAGTAGGGGCTCCGGGACCCCGATGCCTGCGTCGGTTCCCTGCGAATCTGATTTTGGTACTCCCCTGCTTCAAACTTTCTGATAGTTTCCCCTTAGGACAAAATAGGCTCTCTTCCCATCTGCCTTTCCAGCCTCCTTGCTTTCCGGAGCCCACCTTCCTGCACATTCGGGCGTCTGCTCCTCCGAGCCGTCATCACGGGCCACCCTCTCCTGTACCTCCCCGGGGAAGCAGTTGTTACGTGGAGTGTAGGGTAATCGCTGTTTGTTCATTCCCCTCCCGAGATGGACCAGGGCCCCCTAGAACCTGGCACTGTCCATCTTACTTGCTTGTGGTCCTATGGCCCAGAGTCATGCCTGGGAAGAGCAATTAATTCATTCTATGGGATGAGCTGGATGGAAGGGAGGACATCTTTCTAATCGACGTAATGTTTTAAGTGGTAGAATTATCCGTGGCTCCTTCTGTTTTGTTAATCTTTCCAAAAACTAAAATGACCACAACAGTGGAGGCAGCTGTGACTGCGCCCTGGCCCTGACTGGCTGGTTCCGTCACTGTCCTCCCGCCGGCAGCGGGGACAGCCGTCCCTTTGCTCTGTCACCGGTGGGGACACCAGCACGAGGGGATGAGCGCCTTTGGCTCCCCCACATTCTCAACAAGCCTATAGCATTTACTTTCGGTTGAGGTTTTAAATAATTTTTTAAAAATGAACTCTCATAGCGCATTTTAAGAGAAGCCAGCTTCTCAGATTCCTTGAGGACTTCCGCAGCGAAGTCTGCGTGAGGTAAAAGCCCAGGTAGCTGGAACTCAGTTATGAATTTTGTTTTCTGCATTCTGGTCTTCAGAAGGATCAAGTAGGAAAAGCTGATGGCAGGAATTTTGTAAAAAAAATAATAACCTAAACAAAGTTCAGTGTCTTAAAATCAGTACAAAATTGGTTAATAGAGCTTCAACACTAAGCGAGAACTGACTCTAAGTCCTCGTAAAACACTTCATCATCCAAAAAAGATTCTTTATCAAGACAAGCTACGTGACACATGCGAAGCCCGTGGACTGGACCGGACCGGACTTAAAAAGGCAAGAAAGCTCCTGGCACTCGGTCAGGTTGGGGATGCACAGCACGTGGTAGATGCCAGAGTAAGTTCCAGGCGAGTTAACAGGTAAAACGGAAAAGGTTTTCAACCTCAAGGCTGAAATGAAAAGGGCTGTCCATTTATTCTCTCTCCATTGACTACAGAAACTCAAGCATTCAGAAAAGCCTGGCCACCCAGGGAAAGGAGACTCTCTGCACTTTGAGGGGAAGGTCAGGCCTCGTGAAAGGAGGGGCCCAGCACAAAACCCAAGCCCGCCTTTGCGGCCCACGCCGAGAGGACGCGCCGGTGCCTGGGCCCTGCACTGCCAAGCCCGTCCTTACCCTGGGGATGGGCAGAGCCGGGGGTCGATCCGGGGCCGCAGCTTGGCCAGCTCCTCTGCGGAGTCTGTGGACCTGGGCAGGGCCACCGAGCCGCCCGAGACTACGGACTCCAGCTCGCCCGACTGGGACGCTGTCGTCGGAACAGACTCCGCAACGTCCTCGGCCTCTTCGGGGACGTGCTCGCCAGGGATGTCCTCTGCAGGGACTGCCTCTAGCTGCTCCACGCTGGGAGAGGGCTTGACGATCTGCCAGAGAAGAGATAAGACTCGAGCCGCGAACTTCCAGCCAAGGCAGGGCCTCGGGGTGCTCACCCGAGGCTGCGTGGATGTTAGTACAGGTGTCTGAAGCAGCTGCACACACGTGAACTTGGGAGGCAGGAAGTTAAAAAAAAAAAAAGCCAATCTCAAAATAAATGAACAGGAACAGACTCATAGATACAGAGAACATTTTGGGGGGTGCCCGATGGGAGGGTGGGTGAGAAGGGGAAGGGATTAAGAAGTACGAATTGGCGGTTATAAACATAGTCACGGGGACGCGGAGCGTGGCCTAAGGAACAGGGTCAGCAATAATGTGATAACTGCGTGGCGCCAGGTGGGTGCTCGACCAGGGTGGTCACTTAGTTTTATCAATGTCTAATCGCTATGTCGTACGCCTAAAACGAACACTGTACGTCAGCCGCGATGGAAACGGAATTATTTTTTATAAAAGCGTCTTTTCTTCTGAGAGGCCTAGGCTGAGTGAAAAGGGCATCTGCTCACGATGGGACGCTGCACGTCTGTCCCAGCCCGTGGCCTCGGGGGTCTCCTCTGGGTGGGAAGGGAGGTGGGGGCCGGAGGGCTTCGAGCCTTCGTGGGGTTCCGGGAGGCTCCCTCAGTGGGCCGTGTGCTCGTGGGGACAACAGGCAAGCGCAGCTGGAGAAGTGGACCCCGCTCGGAGTGGGGTCTGGAGCGGGAAGATCCTGTTCCGGGCTCCGCTGGGCCTCGGCGGCCAGCACGGGAGCCCCGCCCGCCCCGCACGCCACGGCCGGCCCGGGGACACACACACCTCAGCCACCTCGGCCAGCACACCGACCAGTTCACTTCCTTCGCCTTCTTCATCCTCCACGAAGTCGTAGGTCACGTAATAGGTGTACGTGATGAAGGGGCCTTGGGGCCCTGGTTCCGGGTCCAGGATGGAGCTGTCCAGAACCCCTCTGACATTGCCGATCGTCACCAGGAGCTGTGCCTCGCGTGGCAGGAAGTCTGCAAGGGGGAGCGGGCGGGAGTGAGGGGCGTCGGGAGGGGGAGCATGTGGGGGGGTAGAGGCCACGAGAGAGGCCACCAGGGCCTGAGTCTCCGCCTCCAGGCGGGGCCCCGGAGTGCTCCTCCCTGGCTGTCAAGTTCAAACAGTGACTTTGGGTGAGTCTCCTTTTGGCGAAACACCCAGTGAAGCCTCGTTTCCCCGATGTGGATAACGGAAGCGAAAGCGGCTGCTTTGCAGGACGGTTACAGATCGAGGCGCGTGTGACCTCAGCAGGCGCCCTGGGCGCAGTAGGGACAGCTGGTGTCATCCATGTTTCACCGCCCCAACCTGGAGAGCGGTCTGGTGTAGCTAGTGGCGCGGGCCACAAGGGGGGGATGTCAAGCCACCACAGAAGCCAGGACAGAATGTCTCCCGTGTCCCTGGTGAGGGAGGGGACCAAGGTGGACCTGGCCTCCTTATCCCTTCTATCCCCAAGTCCCAATCGCGGGGACTAAATAAATCTCTGACCAAGAAGTGAGCTGCACCCAACCAGGGCCCGTGTCCCCCGGGGAGCTGTGGGGACAGTCTGCCCAGCAGGGTGGCGGATGGGCAGCGGCTCGGGAAGGCAGGAGCCCGCGCATCGGCGACCTCACCCCCGCTGTGGCTGATGCCCCGGAACTGATGCTTCTCGCTGGGGGACACGGTGATGTCATCCAGCACGCAGAGCCGGGCCAGGCTGTCGACGGTGAGGCCGCGGTAATACGGCACGAGGGCCAGCGGGTTGCCCTGCAGCACCAGCAGCCTCAGGTGCCTCAGGGAGCTGAGGCTGCCCACCATGCCCTGCAGGTCTGTCAGGTCGTTGAAGCCCAAGTCCAGCGACACGAGGTGGGGCCTGGGGTGAGCAGAGCCATCCAGGCGGCGAGCGGCCCGTGAGCAGGATGTCCAGACTGCCCACCACGGCTCGCAGGCCTCGGGGGGCCCGTGACCCAGGCTGGTCCCCTTCTCCAGGAGGTCCATCGGGAAGGACCGCCTGGCTCTACTGTCCCCTCTGTACTATACTGGCACCCTCACTGTGACACAGGATGGCCCTCGTCACACCCGAGTCCACCTGACTCCTACCAACACACAGACCGCGTCTACTAGGTTAAACGTCTCGGCATCTCCTGTGGAGCCTGATACGGTGCTGTGCATCTAGAAGGTTCTCAACGAAGACGGACAGACTAGCAGGGAGGGCAGAGGGAGGCCCCCCTGGGGAGGAGCGGGGGGTGGGGGAGGAGGGGCAGGGAGCATGAGGACCTGGGTGGGGGTGCGGGGGGCTTGAGGGGTCCGGGAGCTGGAGGACGCTTCCCAAAGCCAGATGGGCGTGTGATCGCGGGGAGCCGTTCGTTTCCCTCTCGGGGCACGTGGGTGGAGGACGCACCCGTGAGGACAGGGGACACACAGGGGGCCAGGCAGGGGGCAGGGCAGTTTCCCTGCCGTGCAGACTGGAAAGCAGACTGATGTCGGCTCTGAGGACGGCGGCAAGACGAACGCCAGGGGACACCTCCTCAGCCGATCTCTCGCCATCGGCCCGACGGCCTCTGGCCTCTGACCGACTGACTCAGGGACGTCCCCTCCCCGCCCGTCCTCCTCTCACAGCCCGTTCGGCCCGTGATGCTGGCCAGCTGGTGGGGACATGAGAGGAACATGTCTTGGGGACCGGCTCAGGGACGTTACCCACCATGAGCCTTCTTCAACAGAACCATCTGCGAAGTCGAGTCACACGACATCCACCCTCCTTTTAATCTCAATAAACAGTGAAAGGTGGAGGTTTTTATGAAACCCGCTCAGTATCCAGCAGGCCACCTAGGTTTACAGTAAGTATTGTTTTCCACGTTGAAAGTTGGGACACTCGGGACTCTCCCCAGGGTCGGGTCTCAAGTCCAAGCGAACGTCTCCTTCCCGCTTACGCTCCCTGACAGCTGTGGCCAGTGCGAGAAAGCAGTCAGAACCACCCGCACGTGGCGGAGAAAGCGTGGCCACGAGGAGCAGGGGGGAGGAGGAGACGATGGTCAGAGCGCGCGACCTTCCAACGGCACACTCCCCAGGTCACGGGAAAGCAAGGAGGCCATGTTGACCTTTGCCCTGTCTCTGCCCCTGTGGGCCTCAGGACCCGGAGGCGCCACCGAGGACGCAGACGCCCCGGCACCTCTTCACTGCCTCCTCTGACAAGCCCTCCCAGCCTCTCCGCCTTTGGTGGCCTCACCGGGGGCCTCTGGTCCCCTCAGGCCCCTCGGATCCAGTGTCTTCCGTTTCCACTGCTCACCCACCAAGGGGTCAAAGTCAAACCAAGCACTGTCTGCGGGGCAGCGGCTCTTAGCTCAGGGTGATTTTGTCCCCAGAGGGCCTGACACTCCCTGGAGACATTTCGGTTGTCACAGCTGGGGCGGGGCGGGTGCGACTGGCATCCAGCAGGTAGAGGCCAGAGATGCTGCTCGACTTCCTGCCAGGCACGGGACAGTCCAAATGTATCGTCCGGCCCAAATGTCGCTGTGCCCATCAGGAGATCCGGCTCTAAACGGTCTGCCGGGCCTCGCCCCCTCTCGGTGTTCTGCCCTGGGCTTCGTGGGACTTTTGGTTTATTGGATCAGGGAAATAAATCTTAGGTCTGGAGTCAGCAGCCGACCATGAGTTATTATAGAAAAGCGCAAAGCGGGGTTCTTCAAGCCACCGAGAGGAACACCCCAATCTAACACTTAATCCCTTACCACCCCCCATCCCTCTCCCCCATCCCCACCTCCCATCCGGGGCCCCCGCGTTACCAGTGTTCCCTGGTGACGTAGTGGCTCTGCAAGGGGCCCAGCAGTTTGTTGTGGCCCAACCCCAAGTGCTGGAGGCCTGGTGGGGGGTGCGCGCACAGGCAGGCCATGCTGGCCACGCTGTTGCCGTACAGCTCCAGCACCTGTGAGACCGACCGGACAGGACTTCAGGGGTGAGGCTGCTCCTGGACTCCCCGATCCATCGCCGCCCCACCCCACATGCCTAGGCCCTCACCCACGCTCCCTCTCCCCGCCGGTGACTCAGCAGAGGAATGACAAGGACGCTGGCTTGCGCCACGCCTGCCCCGTCCCTCCGGACTCCCTTAGAAAAACCCGGAAAGAAAATATTTCTGCAGCACGTGTTGGCAAGTTTTTCTTTTGTGAAGGAAACTTTAAAATTGGGAGGGGACATCGGAGAGGGTGCGTGACGTCCTGGCCACTTCTCAGGCCCTGGTGATACAAACACGGAATAACCCTAAAGATGACAGCGAGTCTTTGTGTTTCTCCTCCAAGGCCTGGCCGGGGGTCCTCTTGAGCACGGCACTGAGCCACAGCTCTGAGTCCCTTCTGCCACCAGATCTACTGATCCCAGCATTTCCTTTAAGACTGAGGCCATTCTGACATGCTCCACTGAGGACGCATGATCGAGCCCAGGCTGCCGTTTTTTAAAAAATTATTTTTATTGTGGCAAAATTGAACCATTGTGACACTTGAACCATGTTAAGACTCGGTGGCCTTACGTACATTCACACTGCTATACAACCTGCATAACTATCTACTTCCCAAATTTTTCATCACCCCCAACAGAAAGTAAGGACCTATTAAGCCACAGCTCGCCAGTGCCCGCCGCCACCCCGCCCTGCTGCCCCTAGTGACCCCTCATCTCCCCTCTCTCTGGGGATTTGCCTCTTCTAGTTACTCCACGTGGGTGGAATCACCTGATACGTGGCCTTTTGTGTCTGGCCCCTGCCACTCAGCATAATGCTTTCAAGGGCCATCCATGTGTAGCGGTTGTCATTCCTCTTTATGACTGAATAACATTCCATTATAGGGAGAGACCACATTGTCACCCATTCTGCTGCCGACAGACCCTGGGGCTCTCTGCACCGTCTGGCTACGGTGACCCATGCTGGGGTGAACGCTGGCGGACAAGAGTCTGCGTCCCTCCCTGCCTTCGGTTCTTTGGGGCTGTCCCTAGGGAGGGAATTGCTGGGTCCCACGGAAAGAGCACGTTTGGAGGAACGTGGCCCACCTCTGCCGAGCCCGGGGCTGGGCCGCGCTGGCTCAGAGACCCGACCTGGGCTCCTTTACCTTGAGAGTCGGGGGCAGATTGACGGCGTCAACCTTCTGGATCTGATTGGCGCTCAGTACCAACTCCTCGAGGTTCCGGAATTTCAGGAGGTCCTTATCCACCAGTCTCACCTGGAGGAGGAGGAGAGGAAGCTACGAGCCGCGGTGGGCGAGGCAGCGCTGGAGCGGACACCGCGTCCACAGGAGGCGGCAACGGCCTCGCCACCGGCAGACTGACCGGCCCGTCCCCCGAGCCCTTTCCACTCTTCTGAGTTTCTGCCTCATTCTGCCAGGATCCAAGGGTCTCAGTCACCGTAGTGACTTCTCACCTCCTCATCCCTCGCCCCTGCTCAAACCGTAGGCGCTGTGCAGTTCCCAGCTTAGTGTCCCTTGTTGGGCTGTGACTCCCGAGGGCGGGAAGCCCATGTCCTTTGCTATCTTCCTCAAAATCATTAGGGGCCTTTCCTGGCCGGGCCTCTCTCCTCTAGGGTGACCGACTGTGCCAGCTTGCCCAGGATCGAGGGGCTCCAGGGACATGGGCGGGTGCCAGGCAAACAGGTATGAGTTGCTCCCCTCCTCCCTCATCCCCCAAGTACTGCGTGACTCAGTTCCTCTGAGAAAAGAGAAGCAAACTCGGGAAGGCCAAGGCCACATTTCCATGCAATTTCGGGGCTCTGTTATTGAGATGAGCAAAGAAGGCTTTTTAGGAACAGAAATTACTTAATTTAAACTGGCACCCACAGTTTCAATTAAGTAAAACCAGTACGAACACTTGGAAAGGTGGCTGATGGCAGGGTGCTCCAGAAATCAGCTCTAGAAGATGCACAGTGGACTCCCTCTCGGGGCAAAGGAGGAAGACACAACAAAGAATAAATAAGTGAGCAGCTGCCTCTGCTTGGTGGATCTGCCCCGTAGGATTAATCACAAAGAGGGCAGAGCTACCGCCAGCCCCCTCCCACCTAACGCCTAGGTCTCCCCACTAAGCGCGTGAGGGGACAGCCTCCTAACATCACCTCTGTATGCTGGTGCCCACTCCCCTGCTCACCTCCTTGTCCACCACATGCAGGGACCTGAAATAGGAATAGAAGAAGGTGTCTTTGAGCATCAGGGGATTCTGGATGGCCAGTTGTCTCAGAAAACGATCCTCTGCACTGGAACCCTCCAGCAGAGCCCAGGGCGAGTGGGGGCTGCAGACCAGGCCCAGCAGGTCCTCCACCGTCTCCTCCCCGGGGCTCCCCACGTCCTCCTCTCTGGGGATCAGCTCCCTCCATGTTCGCCAAGTTCGAGGAAGAAAGCGCGACTTATTCTGCAGCAGTGGAGGCGGAGAATTTGTTTATGACTCAGCCCTCTCAAGGATTTAGACAGTGAGTAAGCCATACTTTTGACCAATTATTAATCATGGAGATAATTAAAGACGAGAGAAAACAGAATAATAAAAAGGCCCATTCCTGCCTTTAGGAGTCGCTAGGAACCTTGAAGATGCAAGTAAAGGTGATTAAATATTTAAGGAACGATTTATGTCCTAGAAGCCGGGAGGCACCAAAGGCGATCTGTGGGATGCCCAGCGACCGGAAATCAAGGAAAGGTTTTTGAAGGTGAATTCAGTGCCTTTAGAGGCCATCAGTGGGAGATGAACACATTTGTCCCAGAGTTTACTTTCTCCCACCCCCTTCCTCAGAGGCCCTTAGACGACACCTGTGAGGCCCTAGAGCTCAGCACGGGGTCCGGCACGCAGTAGGCGCTCAGCCCGTTTGCAGAGGAAACACCGAGGCCCCCTAGCGGAAGCTGGGCCCAGCTTCCCGCCCAGCCCCCCGGAACCGTCCCAGACCCTGGACGCTCCCGCGCGCCGAGCAGCCGCGGCCTCGACGTCACGCTCCCCGCCCCGCACCACGGCGCCTAGCTGGTGGCCAGCTGATGCCGGGGACGCTCCGGCCGCCGGGCCGCCGCGGGTCCTGACCGCAGACATCGCTCTCATGACGAGCTTTTCACCTCGAAGGGGCCTGGTGTCTCCGGGAGAGCGCGGCCGTGCCCGCGGGCCCGGGTGGGGGGCCC